GAAGAATGGCTAGCACCTCCCAATAGAGACGTGACCAAGCTCTCTGGTGAGGAACGCCGGCCCCCTGCATGCCGGACCGGACCAGCCCAGCTGCCGGACCACAGAGGACAGCACCACCAGGATCCCATCAAGCCTGTACACGCAGCATCAGGAACTTTTGTGAATAATCAAGTGCTGTGTGATTTGCAACTGCGTATGTTTCATGTGGTGTAATTCCTCCGGTAGTTAGTTGAATCATTTTGCGAACATTTAAAACTGAAATTAAAGCTTCTGGTCTTTTCAGTCTTAGGCCTGTGCCTGCTTCTGCTTGCTTAGAGTAGCCTCTTCGCTAGCAACTACTTGAATGTCCCAACACCTTCATGGTTAAAGTTTATCAAAAGGGATGCCTTAGATAACCGCCCCAGATCCTTTCCCGGGATCTACTTGGGACAGTCTGGATAACAAGATTGAACCCATTCTGCTTGGCTAATATTGTAAACTACTGAGAGGTGAATGAAGCTTTTTTTTTTTTTTTTTTTTTTTTTAAGATATTTTATTGATTTCTTACATAGAGGAAGAGGGGAATAGAGAATTAGAAACATCCATGGGAAACATCGATCAGCTGCCTCCTGCATTTAAAAAATATATATATTTTATTGTTTTTTTACAGAGTGGCAGTGAGAGGGATAGAGAGCTAGAAACATCGATGAGAGAGAAACATCGATCAGCTGCCTCTTACACACCCATGCACTGGGGATGTGCCCGCAACCAAGGTACATGCCCTTGACCAGAATCAAACCTGCGACCCTTCAGTCCACAGGCCGATACTCTATCCACTAAGCCACATGGGTTAGGGCTGAATGAAACTTTTTATTATTTCCTGTCCAGATCTTGGTACAATTTTCAGTCAGAACGTCAACTTTGTCTGCTTTTTACAGATTTTCCCTTTAGTTCACTTGTTCTCTGAAGGTGATGTCCTTTGGGGTACCTGGCTTTGGTGGAGGGGGGGTAGGCAATGAGCCCGTACCCCATTCTGGAAGATGCAAGACATTGCCTTGTGTGCCTGTCAGGAGGTTTTGGAAACCAAAGCTCCACCTATCAGAAATTATTATATGTCCCCATGTGGATGAAAGGGGCCGTATGCTAACCTGACAAGCTTGGGGAAGGCCTACATGATGGTCTTGCAAACTCAGAGACCTAAAGTAACCACAAAGGATAGTCTGAAATGAAACTTTAACCAAAAGTAGTTATGATGGGTAGTTACATCCTAGCTGGTATCTTTACTGACAAGGTCAACCTTTACTTTAACTGAGCCTATCTGTCTTTTTGCATCTATGATAACATACCCTGGAAATGTCTGAGTAACTCATAACTTCCCTTTTTCTGGAACCTTTGGGCCACAACCTAATGTGCCTGGGTGCCAGGACAAAACCACAAATTCCTTCATTGTTATCATGTTAATTATTCCTGCACCCACCTAAGTATATGTCTATCATTGTCCTTTTTATCCAACGCCAGGGATTCCCACTTTGCTTTCTCCTGCCTCGCTAGTCTATCACCAATGGATTTCATGTAACCCACCTCCATCCCTTCCTTTGATTGCATTGTATAATATAAATATAGATGTAACCTGCCATTCTTCAGAGCGTTCTTTCAATTTGTTGAGGTTCTTGTTTCCTGGCATATGTCGACGGTTTGGCTCAAATAAACTCACAAAAATTCTTTACAGGTTTGAGTGTTTTTATGTTAACACCCAGAACTGCCTACTGACTTGAATCCTGGTTCTCCTCGCTGGAGTTGGGCTTTCAATTTATTCCTGGCCACAGACTATGCTTCATTTCTGGTAAACACGGCCATTAATTTAAAAAGGCATGTTAAGCAGAAACCGGTTTGGCTCAGTGGGTAGAGCGTCGGCCAGCAGACTGAAAGGTCCCGGGTTCGATTCCGGTCAAGGGCATGTACCTTGGTTGCGGGCACATCCCCAGTAGGGGGTGTGCAAGAGGCAGCTGGTCGATGTCTCTCTCTCATCGATATTTCTAACTCTCTATCCCTCTCTCGCTTCCTCTCTGTGAACAATCAATAAAATATATTATAAATAAATAAATAAATAAATAAATAAATAAATAAATAAAGGCACGTTAAAATATTTTATCTGGCCGAAACTAGTTTGGCTCAGTGGATAGAGCGTTGGTCTGCGGACTGAAGGGTCCTAGGTTCAATTCCAGTCAAGGGCATGTATACTGGTTGTGGGCACATCCCCAGTAGAGGGTGTGCGGGAGGCAGCTGATCGATGATTCTCTCTCATTGATGTTTCTAACTCTCTATCTCTCTCCCTTCCTCTCTGTAAAAAATCAATAAAATATATATTTTTTAAAATAAAGTATTTTATCCGGCACTGTTATGTGTTCCACTGAGGAAAGACTCCAGGATACCTAAAAAGTTTTGAGAAATTTGTTCAAGAACGACACACAAATCCTGTATTCCCTGTTGTCTTACATGCTTTAAATGCCAGTCTGTGGTCTTTCAGCCTGAAGGACATCTGGCTGGGTTTCAGATTCTTGTGTTCCAATCTCTTTACCTCAGAGACTTGTGGACATTGCTCCACTGTTGTGTAGCAGTAATGAGAGGAGGCCAGCCTAATTTATTTCTCCGGGCACTTTGAGTTGGTTTCATTCTGCCTGGAAACCTATTGAAACGGGATTTTTGGACCGAACCCGAATTCTTTGTCCGACAGAATCGAGGAATGAATCCACAGACAGAGGACAGTATAGCAAAGCCGGAGATTTATTGAAGAACAAGCACAGCCTCCCACGTGGGGAGAGGGAAAGAGTCCCACGGAAGGGACTCCCACGCCGGGAGGGGAAAAGGGTCCTACTGAATTCTTTTTCCCTGTGGCTTTTAAAGGCTGCAGCTCCTGATGCCTTGATATCCCCTCTGATTGGTCACTATTTCCTTACACTGGTAACTATAGTAACTTTGAGTCTAACTATAGTTAGTCTCAAAGGTCAAACACCACATGGGATGTGTGACGCCCTCCTTCCTCATTATTCTTTTCTTTCTGGGCTTTCTTCCTTCTTCTTTATTTTGTAAATATAGACTTTTTTGGCGACTTCCAGCTCCCTTGTCTTATGTAAATGCAACTGCTGCTGCTCCCTGCACCTGGCTTCCTTGTGTTATGGAGATGTACCTTCTCCCAATCTGTAGCCCTGTGTTTTTCCAAGAACCCCAATTCTAAAAATTCCCTAAGTCTGCTTATATTCTCCTAAAATTCCTGTTTCAGTATCAAATTCTTTATATTTGTGGTTTATTAACTTCACCAAGACACATTCCAGTGTTGATTATTCTATATCAAAACTAGAGGCCTAGTGCATGAAATTCATGCATGGGAGGGGTGGTTCCCTCAGCCCAGCCTATACCCTCTCCAATCGGACATCCCCCTCGCAATCTGGGACCATTGGCTCCTAACAGCTCATCTGCCTGCCTGCCTGCCTGATTGCCCTAACCCCTCTGCCTGCCTGATTGATCACCCCTAACCATTCTGCCTGTCTGCCTGATCGTCCCTAATCTCTCGGCTTGCCTTCCTGATTGCCCCTAACTGCCTCTACCTGCCTGCCTGATCACCCCTAACCACCTCTGCCTGCCTGATCACCCCTAACCACTCTGCCTGCCGGCCTGATAACCCCCAACTGCCTTTGCCCCGGCCCCCCACTACCATGGCTTTGTTCAGAAGAAGTAAGATATCTGGAAGATGGCCGGTTGACCCAGTCTATTTAGCATATTACTCTCTTATTAGTATAGATAGATTATATAGGATAGGATTGCTTAAATAGGGGGAGAGGGGCAGCCTTTTTCACCAGGAGATGCTCTTTGCAGACAAAAATACATAATCCATATATCTGGACTGATAGCCAGCCATATGCACTATACTGCCAAACCAGTTATTAAAAAATTGAACCACTTTCTTACACCTTACACCAAACAGGTGTTGCACAGAGGAAATACGATGTGAAGACACAGAAAGAATGCCATGACAGGGACAGCGATTGGAACTATGGTGCCATAAGCCCAGGAATGCCCAAGATTGCTAGAAATACCGGAAAGGTAAGAACAAATCCTGCCAATACCCTGATTTCTGACTTCTAGCCTTCAGAGCTGTGAGAGAATACATTTCTATTGTTTTGTTTAAGCCATCAAATTTGCGGAACTTTATTACAGCAACCCTAAGAAATTTTTAGTACAGACTACACAGACAAAATATGTTCTCATATAATTTCTTTCCTATGTGTTTGTCAAGTTATAATAAAGTTAGGTTCATTTCTATTTGTTGTCAACGTTTTATAATTGCTCTTTTATTTCAATTTTTGGCTATATTAGTTATTTATGTTTACGAAGTCAATCTATATAATAAAGTATAGCTTCCCCCCCAATCTGTCGCATCTTGTTCCTTTACCACCCAAAATACTTTAAAAGTTAATATTAATAATGGTTGTCTCTGAAAAGTAAGATTATATATTTCCTAACTCTTCTCTGAGGTTTTCAAATCAGGACCAAATAAAATGAAAAGAAAAAGAATAAAGTGATTTTTCCTGCAGGGCTCAGTTCAAGTTCCATGGCCTCAGTACTTTCTGTTTCTGAACTTATACATTGTTTATTGACTATACTGCTCACTTAACTCTTTGCATCAACCAATCAATCAATCAATAAATTTAAAATTTAATGCACTGAGATAGGAAGGGCACCTTATTAGATGCTGTAGGGAATACAATGTATTACCAATTAAGTTTTCATGTACAGCCACTTCCTTGATTAAGCTATATATTGAAGGAAAAGCTTTCTTACATCCTCCATGGAGGCCATTACTGCTGACCAATCATACCAAGTTCCTTTGTACAAAATGTTAAAGAGAAAATAAAAACTGAAGCAGATTGATACAAATCCCTTTAATAAAGTACATCAGTGGCAACTTTATTTTAAAATAAATACAGGGTTAAAAAACATACAAAAGCATTTTGTTATAATTATTAAGAAAGATTTGAGACTGCTATTCCCTCTGCAGAAATGCTATACACACATGCAAAATGATCAAAGGCCGATGTAATAATGAATCTCAAGTAAGTGGCATGGCCATCATGTGCCTGTAGGGGAAAAATCAATAAGAATGCTCTTAGCAATTCTAATTAACTGTTAAGCAGTTAACAGAAAAAAGGGTTTGATGCAAGAGTATAGTCTAAATATATAACAATTTATAAAATAAGATTCAGAAGAGAAGCCAGTCACATATAAAAGTACAGTCATTCTAGTGTGTATTAGCTAAATAACAGCCTTGGTTTGATGTAAAATAGCTGATGGAGCTGAAAATTACAACTGTATATTTCTTCTCTTTAAAAAAAATTTTTTTATTTATTTCAGAGAGGGAGGGAGAGGGAGAGAGAGAGAGAGAGAAACATCAAAGATGAGAATCATTGATCACTGCCTCCTACACGCCCTACATGGAAGATCAAGCCCACATGTGCCCTGACCAGAAATCGAACTATGACCTCCTGGTTCATAGGTCAATGCTCAACTACTTAGCCACACTGGCTGGGCTACAACTGTACTTTCTGATCAGTTTTTCAAAGTGTTTTTCTAAAGGATTTCTCATAACAAAAAATTTCTTTTGGTTAACCATGCCTCAGAATATAATACCTTGAAACATTACTTTTACATTTATGTAATTTTTTGGGAAAGAAATTTGGCAATATACTAAACAGGTATAAATATGTCTATTTCTTTCAACCTAGTAATTCCATTCTCTGAAATCTAATCTTATAAAGTAATTAAAAAGGTGAAGATTGTGGTAGTGGGAACATGTATAAGATGTTCCTTGTAGTAGTACTTATAATGACAGAGGGAGGAAAAAGGAAATTAGCTAGCATTTTCATATTTGCATATGCTTAATCTTAAAATTATGAATCTTGAATATAATAAGTTTTAAAAATGACAAAAAATTGTTTATACATTATTATTATAACTATATGTGAAGCATATGGTCAATATCTAGAAGAAAGTAGATATAGAAAAAGCTGTTATGACAGGGTGATAAAATGATGTGTGATTTTTAGCCTCCCATCACCCTATTATTTTCCAAATGTTCTATAACGATGTGAGCTTCTCTGATCCTTAGTGGATCTTAATACAAAATATTCAACAGAGACTTACTAATCATCACCCACTGGTAAAGATGGATAAAAATAGGAAGATAAAATTCAGTCTAATCATTTTTCAACACTCCCCTCCCCTTGAACTCACCTTCCCAGTCATTGGGCACATTTGGGTGGTAAAGAAAAAAATTAATATGATTCAAAAACATCCTATAGACTCTTTTGAAGTATAGATTTCATAGCAACTCCCCATAAGTTGTGAAAAAGAAAATTTAATGGACAAGGTACCACTTTAACCCTCATTTCAAGACACCGTAATTAAAGAAACACTACCTCCTTTATAAACACACACACACACACACACACACACACACACACACACACACACACATTATCTTTGGCCAGATGGTTCAGTTGTTTGAAGTGTTGTCAATACATCAAAGGTTGTGAGCTTGATTCTAGGACAGGGCACATTCCTAAGTTTGGGGGTTCGGTCCCTGGTTGGGGTGCATATGGGAAGCAACCAATCAATGTTTCTCTCTCTTTTTCTTCCTTTATCTCTAAAAATCAATAAAAAAAACCAAACACACATATCCTTAGGAGAAGATAAAACACACAAACACATATTAATACTCACTTTTTCCAAGTTTTTGTGTTTGTCTAAACCCATGGCCTGACAAACTGTCAGGAACAGAGAAATTCCTGATAACGGCAGCACTTCCTCATCAATGGGCATTCATTCCACTTGACAAGCAAAGCTCAATGGAATGCTGTCGAAAAACTCTTGTTCTCTTTCCACCCCATCTCTCTTTGGTTTATTTGTTGCTGATCCTATGCTCCAGTTCCCCTTATCTGAATCTCCCTTGTCCTTTCATACTTAAATTAACATCCAGTTTTGGCACTGCAACCTTTTATGATCCCTACTCTAAAAGGCCTACATATTCAAATAAGACAAAGCAAAGCAAGTAAATACTTCCAATTTAAAAAATGAACACAATTAAAACAAAAACAAGTAAATGAATTCTGGCCCTAGCTATCTGGCTCAGTGAATAGAGCACTGGCCTGCGAACTGAAGGGTCCCAGGTTCGATTCTGGTCAAGGGCACATGCCTGGGTTGCTGGCTTGCTCCCCAGTGGGGGATGTGCAGGAGGCAGCCAGTCAATGCTTTTCTCTCATCATTGATGTTTCTATCTCTCTTTTCCTCTCCCTTCCTCTCTGAAATAAATATATATTAAAGAAAAAAAGTAAGTGAATTCTGTTTTAACCTTACTGTAATCCTGTCTATGATAGATAAAAGCCTAATTTATAAAATGCTACCTTTAGACTATAATATTATGAGAATAACCTCTGTTTATGGATTGAGTACAGAAACTATACTATCATGAAGAGTATTTATTAATTTTATTATTATAGAGATAGGTTTAAAATTTAAACATATTAAAAAAATCAAAAAAATATGTAAAAATAAATAAAATAAAATAAAATAAAATAAAATAAAATAAAAGGGAGGGAGGGGGGAAAAATCAAAAAAATATGTAAAAATAAATAAAATAAAATAAAATGAATAAAATAAAATTTAAACATATTGTGCTGGCTAAAGATAATATTTATCTCTACAAAGTATATTTACTTACCATAATTTCTTCATTTTGAAGCTGCCCCTCTGTGTGTACTAGCTCTAAAACATAAATTTAACAGAAATGAGTTAGGGCTTACAAGACATGAGACTAGCTACTGAAATTTATGTTCAGCAAAACATTATATGTGGTTAACTATAGTTAAACCAGATTTACCAGTGTTTTGGGGTTAAATTTTAATATACAGATAGAGATATTTGATATAAAAGGTATGAAAGATAAACTGTTTATGAGCTATAAAATAACTCTAGTGAATAAAAATGTAAGGCAATCCAAATGTAAATTAAAATAAAGAAATATAAAGTGAGGAATTGATAAAATGTGGAAATCCCTTTTAAGGATCAATTGCAGGCCTGAAAGGAGCATTTTATTGTTCCCATTGGCAATAACCAGAGCTCAGTTTTTCACAATAAATTTCTACTATAAATAAATTTCTACAGAATTATGCTACCCTTGGAATCAATCTTTTCTGGTATTCAACTTTAGAAAACCTTTACTCATATAATTTTAGGATAAATTAATTTATTTAATCATAAGATAATCATATCAAACATGATTATATTTGGAACCATGAAATATTTAATTGATATAATAAAAATATTAAGATTTAGAAATTAATTTTATTTGTATCAAAATAGTGTACATAATTTTAAAGGCATATAGCATACAAAGGGAAGTCTCTGGGAAGTAAGATTATGTATGACTTTCTGTTTCCTAACCTTTCTCCGGGGCAATGAAAAATAGTAATCCCCTCTTGTCCTCTCCTTTATCCTCCAGTCCTGCTCCCTCCAGGTCAAAGGACAATTCTCCCCTCCCTCATGCTCAGAACAATGCTGGTGAAACAAGCACATACCTCTTTCAATCCACTGCTCAAAACTGTCTGGCTCATTAGATGTGCTCTTTTCAATTCGCAAGGTCCGTACTAACATTGTAAATAAAACATATAAAGTATTAATTATTGATTCTTTGCTGGTGTTCCTATATTCCTTTTATCTTCTGAGACTGTAAGGCTTTGGTGGGAATGCACAAAGAACTGGGATCAGGAACACCATCTTCTGAAAACCATTTACTCTTTTTCTATATGCCCCTACAGGGAAATACAATCTTATATCACTAAAATCCTACAAATGTTTGCAAACATTACAACATAGCTTTGGAGCCTTTTTGAATTTGGTATTGTCCAGTTGTTGTTGTTTTTTTGTATATTGGTATTAATAGTAGTAGTAGTAGTAGTAGTCTTGGGCATAAGTCTTTATCTTTAAGGAGGACCTACTATGAGTCAAGCATACTTACCTCATTCACTCTTTACTATAATCTTATGAGAAAAGAAATATTAACCTACTTTACTGATAGGGAAACAAGCTTAGAGAAATTGGGCACTTAGAGAAGTCAGGCAAAGTGTTCAATGATAAAGAATTAGTAAGTGCCAGAACTAAAATTCAAATGTTAGGTCTGTCTGACTCCAGAGCCTCTACAATGAATGACAGGAGAAAGGCTTAACAGGAGTGCAGTCAGTCATCTTCCTTCTGCACTGTTTTTTCTCCATCACCCCTGCCCCAGTTTCAGCTACCCCAGATCCATTTTTCCCCCTGTGCCCTGGGGGGATAACACCAGTGGACTGCATCTCGGGGACTCACTTGATCACTGGTTACAGGTCAAATGTGGCCAATGGGTGGCACTGGGAGGAAGCTGGAGGGCAGTAGGGAAGTGAGATCAGGCTGTTTTTCCTCCACTCCCTTCCTGCTTCAGTGCCATGTCTTTGACAGTGGTTGTGTTCCTTCATGATTACAACTCCTGCCAGGCAGGTCCTTATTTACAAGCTCCAATCTTTCCTGGGTCCATAACACTATTTCTTTCCCTTGGCTCAAGGGTGGTAATGGCATCCTGCTGTAGCCAGTTTCTGGGTGTCTCACTTCCCTGGTTTAGTCTCTGGTGCCAGAACATAATTTTATAAGTAGACCCATCAATAAAGTCTCTTCATTTGAACCATCTGGAGTGTATTCTGTTTCCTGCCATGATTCTGTCTGATATACTTTATCCTTACATAAACATAAAGACAGGATTAGAATGATATTCTAATGGGAGATTCTCCCTCTAAATCTCTCAGAAAATGTCATTATTAATATAAGAATAAAAATTATCCAATGTAAATAATCAGGATAATCAGATTTCCAGAAAGAATTTAACAGAGAATCCCAAGCCAAACAATCTGTAATAAATATGTCAAGGAATCTAGCGTTCTGGCTTCTTATGTTCATAATAGGCTCTTTTGCCAAAGACTTTCACATAGTAAATTGCATGGACATTATTAGTTGCTTTGGAAGGGTTTCAAATTTGCAGTTTCATAGAGTCTAACTGTATTCAAGGCAGTTAACCCATACACCCCACTCTCTTACCCAGCACTAAAGTTGGATTCCATGCTGCATAAAACATTTTGCCCTCTGCCTATGGAAAAATTAAAAGATGATGAAAATTAATGTATGATTTGCTTACCAAAGTAACTTTGGATTACAAGCTTTTCAATTCTTACATGTCTGTGAAAACAAACAATGAACTCTTGGGGAAACATTCCAGTGGTGGTCCAAAATGTTTCTGGATTCCTTTTGTTAATTAAAAAGAGAGAGAGAAAAAATAGTCAAATAAAAATTAAACACAACAGTCTAGTGAATAAGTATAAAAAAATGAACCACGGATTCTTGCAATCCTTTTCTAACTGTTCATTCTGCCTCTAATTTCTCCTTAATTTTAATAATTCTTTACTACTACCAGATCTATTCTTTAAAAACATAGAATTTATGTCACTCTTGTCTAAAGCCTCCAGTGGCCCCTTATTGCCTATAAATTTAAATCCCCTAGTATGGTATTTTATGACTTTAAATAATAATCTGGTCTCCCATCATTAAATTATCATCATCCTTCATGCTATCATCTATCCTAAACTATAGTCACACTGGGCCAATTAAAATTCAGCAAACACATCATGCAGGCTCAGGCTTCTGTGCCTTAATACATATGTAATAAATGCAACAGTACAGTGTTGTTGTTGTTTCCCCATTAATTGGTCAGTTGTCTTTCAAAGAACTTAAAATTAAAAAGGTTGCTTTTTCATATTATCCAAATATTTACCATTTTCAGTGAACTTAATTTCTTCTTATAGGTATGAATTTCTTTTTTTAAAGTTTATTTATTGATTGAGAGGGGAGAGAAGAGAGACAGACACACAGAGAGATTTATTGTTCCACTTATTCACGCATTCATTGGATCCTTCTTGTATGTGCCCTGAGGAGAGTTCAAAGCTGCAACCGTGGCACTCTAACCAACTGAGCTACTTGGTCAGGGTTGGTTTGAATTTCCATCTAGTATTATATCACTTCAACCTATAAAACTTCCTTTAGCATTTCCTGTGATGCAGGTCTACTTGTCCTGAGTAAAATGTCTTTATTCTATCCTCATTTTTGAAGGATATTTTAGTTAGAAATAGAATTCTGGATAGACAGGCTTTTGGGAAGGGTGAGAGGTGTTTCTTTTTTCAGCCTTAAAAAATACGGTTCCACTGTCACCTGGATTTCACTGTTTGTGATGCAAAGTCAGCTGTCACTGTTACTATTGTTTCCCTATTTTTAATGTATTTTTTCCTCCAGCTATTTAAAATTTTTTTCTTTATTTTTTAGCAGATTATTATATGGTCCCTATTTTTTAAAGTTGATTTTTTAGAGAGATAGGAAGGGAGAGGGATCGAGAGATAGAAACACTGACAAGAGAGAAACATCCTGCACGTCCCAACTGGGGATTGAGCCCACAAGCTGGGCGTGCACCTTGACCAGGAAGTGAACAGGTGACCTCTTGGTTCATGTGTCAAAAAGCTCAACATAGCCAAACTGGCCAGGCTGGTCCCTCTGTTTTTATTCTGCTTGGGGTTTTCTGAGTTTCCTGGATCCGTAAGTTGGTATTTTTAAATAAGATTGGGGAAATGTGGCCAAAAAATAGAAATAATCCAAATATCCATCAGCTGATAGATGAATACATAAAATGTGCTGTATACATATAATAAAATATTATTTGGAAATAAAAATGAAACATTAATATGTTACTGCAACATGCATAAACCTTAAAAACAGCAACTGAAAAAAGCAAAAGACTCCATATGTGTAATTCCATTTATATGAAATATCTGAATAGACAAATCTATAGAAACAAAGTAGGGCTGGTGAGGATAAGGGAAATATGGGGTGACTATAATGGATTGCAAGGTTTCTTTTTGGGGTGACAAAATGTTCTAAAATTGTGCAGATGGTTGCATAACTCTGTGAATATACTGGAAGCCACTGAATTGTACACTTTAAATGGGTGAATTGCATGGTATGTGAATAATATGTCGATAAAGCTGTTATGAAAAGAAGCAACAGAAGCAGCAGCAGCTGCAGCAATTGGGTTTCCTAACCCACAATTCTGGGTTTTAAATATTATGCTTAATATTTCACAATTTAAAAAATTTACATTTATATGTTTTTAAAAATATATATAATTTATTGATTTTTGTACAGAGAGGAAGGGAGAGAGATAGTTAGAAACATCAATGAGAGTCATCGATCAGCTGCCTCTTGCACACCCCCTACTGGGGATATGCCCATAACCAAGGTACATGCCCTTGACCGGAATCGAACCCGGGGCCCTTCAGTCCCCAAGCCGACGCTCTTCCATTGAGCCAAACCGGTCCCGGCCATTTATATGGTTTTAAATATTATTTATTTAAATAAATTAAATGGCTTTTAATTGCCCTATGCTTTTTTCTTGGATGCTTTTAATGAACACAACCAATATAATAATATCAAATAGTACGTGTAGACATGGATTTTAACTGAATCCTCATATTTAATGAAGTCATCAAAATAGTTTTTAAATAAAGCTTTATAGCTAATCACTGTTTAGTACCTATTTTCTCACATAATTTTTTCCCCCCACAACTCTGAGGTAGTCAGGAAAGGAGGTATTATCCACATTTTTCAGACCAGGAAATTGAGGCTCACAGAGTAACACATATACTCTTAGCCCAATGTAACACATATAGTTCACTTACCTAGGAATTTTAACTGTAACTCTAGTATTCTTTTACAGTATTTAAAAAAACCAATTCTCTTTATCTTCTTTTTCTCTTTTTTTTTTTAACTATCTTTATTTAAAATTTAAAGTCTTCATTGTTGGAAGTATTACATATGTCTCCTTTTTCTCCCATTGACCTCTCCCCAGCCACACCCACCCCCAGCACATGTCCCTGCTCCATTACTCTTCTTTTTCTCTTAATTCACTTTTTCTAGAGCAGAAATTTTTTTCTCCTTTTTCATTAATATATTAAATGCCACAGGAAAAAAAAAAAAGCAGAGTTAAGGGTAAACAGAAATATAATCACTTTCTTTAATTCCTATTTCTGGGAAATAGAGAGTTGGAGCACTGTCCAGTTGGAGCAAATTTTTAGCACTGTTTTCTCCAAATAGTTCCATGGTTACTTTCATTTAGATAAACCAATTTATGAGCAGAGAATAATTTTTAACATCTACTAATAAAGTCTAATTGCATTTGTTAGACATGAATATAGATTAAGTCTCCTTTGTTCAGTTACCAGGTCAGTAACTACTTTTATGTAGTTTTTTTTGTACTAAGGGTTTTGTCTAATAAAAAGAATATGATATCTGCAGTCATCCATTAATATGGACTGATATGAAAAGATCTCTATTTCTGGCAAACAACTTAAGTCAGATCTGTATATATCTATGTATTCTCACAACAGTTCCTACATTAATTTCTCTACTCCAAGGTAGAGTGGGATAAATTACTATGACCTGAATTTTAGGAAGTAAAAAACTAAGAAGGATAAAGAGACACAGGCAAAAAGCAGATATCAAACTTTTGATGCACACCTTTGAGTTATAGTATACTACAAAGAACCCCAAACTAGGAGTTAGAAGACATGAGTGTGAATCTTGATTCTTGGTTATCTGTGTGATGTTGAACAAGTCATTTTATCCCAGATCATTCTTTTCCTCATCTTTACAACAAGGATGAAAATAATTTTTTTGCCTCTTATTACCCTACCTTACAGTGTGTGTCAAATAACACAGTCTACGAAACGACAGTCCTATGCAAATGTAAAGTAACATATGCACATACTAGAGTGTGTGTGTGTGTATGTACATGTCTATATGTATGCATAAATACTCAGCTACTCTCCAATATTAGTTAAGTTTGACTAATAATTAATCGTCTAATTCAATAAGCTACTCAACAAATATTGTAAGACACTATGGAGTTGAAGATGAACAAGTCATAGTCTCTGACTTCTAAGAATTCACAATTAAGAAATGAAATTAAACATAAATAAAGGAATAAATAAGGTAATAAGGGTAACTACCAAATTCTGCTAGAGTCAAACAAAAAAAGGCAAACTCATCCTCCTTGAGGGAAAGGGAGAAATGTCAGAAAGAAGGTAACAACTAGGTTAAAAGAAGAGGATGAGTTGCTTATATCTATTCAGATACGTGGGCTTCACAACAGAACCCAAAGAACCACAAGATCTGTATTACAATGGGCTCTGCCTTCAATATTCAAACTAGTACTTGATCTCCTTAGGCCTGTCTAACCATGAGTCTAAAATGAAAGTTTAAACAAGAAACGCATTAGTTCTTCTAGCTCTAAAATTACATTATTCTATTAGTGAAACTCTGGTCTTTGTACAAATACCAACAAAGAGAATTCAAGAGGGTGATAAAATAGCCAGAGTTCTCCCATTATCTACTTTTTCTTGGAATTTAAAAGTCTGAGAATGATATTCATCTCTACCTAGAATGCATCTCTAGCATGGTGAAGAGTGGAAACTGGGATAATATTAAAAGGCCAAGAGCCAAACAATGCAGGTAGATAGCAGTTAGTGAGTGAAGCATTCAGTTTATTTATTTTATTTTTCATTTTTTATTAAGGTATTATATGTGTACATATCTTACCATTGGAAGCATTCAGTTTAGCAAAGATGTTGCTTTGACTAATAAGGAAATAGGCAGTGGGTAGAAAGTTACAATGTTTATGTTCCTATTTACTAAGAAAAACTTGAAGTAAAACCATAACCAGATATTAAAATGTACAATTCCATAAAATGAGGTTGTTGTTGTTTGAAGTTTTGCCTTATTAAACTACTTTAATATATATATATATATTTTTTTTTAATTGAATTTTTTTACAGAGAGTAAGGGAGAGGGATAGAGAGCTAGAAACATCGATGAGAGAGAAACATCAATCAGCTGCCTCCTGTACACCCCCCACAGGGGATATGCCTACAACCAAGGTACATGGCCCTGACTGGAATCGAACCCGGGACACTTGAGTCCGTAGGCCAATGCTCTATCCACTGAGCCAAACGACTTTGGCTATTAAACTAATTCTTAAAAAAACCGGTTGTAAAGGTCAGTTTAGGAATTTTCAAGAAAAGGGTCAAAACCTAAACATATACATCTGAATTAATTTAAAAAATGGGACCAAAGGTGGAAATTGTCAGATAATCTACTTAACCAAACGTTTATTAAACTATGTTTAATAGTGTTAGTTGTTGTAAAACACATAGTCACAGTTCTCAAAGGGTTCACTGACCTGATATCAAGACCTTAAGGAAGGGAGAATAGGAACTCTTACCCATCAATTATATTTTCAGGGGGATGCTTTTCATCACTTGATGTGGCTAAAATCACTTCAGTCCCTTCAGAGCTCCAGCAGAGATCAACTTTTCTCATCTTAAACTGTTTAGCCTGCAAATGAATAAAAACAAAAGCTACTTCTTGATTCTCTGCACTTTATCGGAGAAAAGGAAGCGAGAAAGCCTGTTGCCTAGCACACAGCTTAACAACCAAGCTATTCAACAAGTGGGAAGGACTCTAACATGTTTATTTACATAAGAAAACTTCGGACCTCTCCCAGGAATAATCTGTAAAATATGAGTATTTCCACTACACTATCCCACAAAACAAGTCCCTGACTACACTGACATAATTATTCTGGTTCAAAAATTAAAAGCCCTCAATAATTATAGAGAAATAGTTAAAAAGCTAAAGTGACATAGTGAATTAATTTATTTATAATTACTCAAATTATTATAATTCTGAAATTATTTTTAAAAACTTGGAGCATAAAAACAGATTTTTTTGTGACTAGCAATACATTTATCAACTGAAATAGCAAGCAATATTATTTATATCTTAAACAACATCATCCTTTTTTTTTTTTTTTGAGCAGAAATATAAGAGAGAAGACATCCTTTTACTTATTTTCAAATTCTAAATCATTCACGTGGGTCATGGACTTAAAAACATTTTAAGTTTAATAGAAGCATCTTGAAAGACAGTATTGAGATCTACTATGAACCCTGGTGGGTAAAACAGAGAAGGAAGACAGAGATGGTTCTGTCAGATCTCACTTACCCTCCTCCTTGATCTGGTGGTGATAGGGCAAAAACTAATATATAGATGCAAAGTAACTGGAAAAGCTGTATCTACAAAGAATTAAAAGAGTTAGAAAACTGCCGAAACCAGTTTGGCTCAATGGATAGAGCATTGGCTTGGGGACTGAAAGGTCCCAGGTTTGATTTCGGTCAAGGGCATGTACCTTGGTTGCGGGCATATCCCCAGTAGGGGGTGTGCAAGAAGCAGCTGATCGTCATTGATGTTTCTCACTCTCTATCTCTCTCTCCTCCTCTCTGTACAAAATCAATAAAATATATTAAAAAAAAAAAAGAGTTAGAAAACTGAGGAAGATGTCTAATATCCTTCACACACTGATCCCAGTCTTTTTTTTTTTTTTTTAAAGAAGACAATTACAAATATACAAAGTACAGAGATTGTTATATATATTAAAGAACTATGCATTAGTGCCCTGAGGTAATAAATGTTAACATTTTTGCCATATCTACTTAAAAAAATTCTTTTTGAGATATATGTAGCCCCTCCCTGGCCCAATCCCTTCCTGGCCCAGAAGTAATAGCTATTCTAAAATTGATGAATATGCCTCATGACTATATATATATTTTTTAATTGATTTTTTCAGAGAGGAAGAGAGAGGGATAGAGAGCTAGAAACATCGATGAGAGAGAAACATCGACCAGCTGCCTCCTGCACATCCCCTATTGGGGATGTGCCCGCAACCAATGTACATGCCCTTGACCGGAATCGAACCTGGGACCTTTCAGTTCACAGACCGATGCTCCATCCACTGAGCCAAACCGGTTTCAGCTTGACTATGTTTTATATTATTATCATACATATATCTCCATAAATAATATGCACTATTCTTTGAAAACTTGGATGGTTCATTTTGCTACTTTTTAAAAAGTCCTCACCTGAGGAGTGACTATATTTTTCCCATTGATTCCTAGAGAGAGTGGGAGGGGAAAAAGAAGGAAGAGAGAAACATTGATGTGTTAGAGACACATCAATAGGTTGCATCTCTCCGTGCACCCGGGCCAGCATTGGGGATCCTGCCTTCAATCAAGGTACCTACATGCTCTTGACCGGAATCAAACTCACGACTTTTCAGTCTGTGGGCTGACGCTGTAACCACTGAGAAAATCTGGCCAGGGCAAAAAGACTCTCTTTATAGGAGTAAAATTGCAGAAACTTAGAATCAGCATATTTTTAAGTTAATAATTGATCAATTTGATCTCTAAATTATAACAAGTTTCATTGCCATAAGCATTGTATGAAAGTTCCTGCTTCCTCTAAGTCTAACCACAATCTATGTGCTGGTGTTAGACTTTTGGCTATAGCCAATCTCATTGTTGTGAATGGCATCTCCATAAAGTTTCGATTTGTATTTCCATGATTATTAGTGAAGCTGAATACCATTATCATGTTTATGGGCCAGTCAGGCCGCTTCCTCTGCTATTTGCTTTTTCTTATCCTTGGCTCATTTTTTTATTGGGTTGCTCTAAAAAAACCTTTTTGTCCATTTCTTTTTTATTTGTAGGTATTTTTAAAATAAAATATTCAGGATAGAATTCCATTATTACATGCTGTAAATATCTAGTACTCTCGTGGTTTGATTTTTCTTGTAACTTTGTTTTTTTGGGTAGGAGTCTCCCCACCTCACACACACACTTTTTTTTTTTTGTTATTGAACTATAACATATATGTAAAAAAGCACACAAATCATAAATTAGCACAACATATTTTACAGGGTAAACTCATCCCAGTAACCACTACCTAGGTAACTGCCACCCAGGAAAAGAACTAGAACATTATCCGCATTTAAGAAGCCCTTTCTGAGCGGCCAGGCCCGAAGCAGCCGGGTCGGGTGCGGCCAGGCCCGGAGCAGCAACTGCCAGGCTGGGAGCGGCCAGGCCCAGGGGAGCAGCCGGGTCGGGTGCGGCCAGGCCCGGAGCAGCGGCTGCCAGGCTGGGAGCGGCCAGGCCCGGGGGAGCAGGCGGGTCGGGTGTGGCCAGGCCTGGAGCAGCGGCTGCCAGGCTGGGAGCGGCCAGGCCCGGGAGAGCAGGCGGGTCGGGTGCGGCCAGGCCCGGAGCAGCTTCTGCCAGGCTGGGAGCGGCCAGGCCCGGAGCAGCCGGGTCAGGTGCAGCCAGGCCTGGAGCAGCTTCTGCCAGGCTGGGAGTGGCCAGGCCCAGAGCAGCAGCAGCCAAGTCTAGAGCAACTAGGTCAGGAGCGGCAGTGACCAGACCCGGAGCAGCTGGTTGTGGAACAAACCAAAGCAACAGAGGCCAGGCCCTGAGCAGCCAGGCCCGGAACAGCTCGCTCCTCGCCTGTCCCTGCCCCACGGCTGCCTCTCAAACATGGCTGGAAACTTTCGTGGGAACTTGAGGGTCTGCTGAATCAAGTGATGAAGGCTTAGATCTGGATGTGTTGAGTTAGTATAGGGCTGGGGTGTTGATCTGTGAGTGCCTTGGGTGGGGCCTGGATGAGGCTGGTGGACCTATTGGGAAATGTCTTTTGTGTGAAGTGTATTATTGGGCATGTGGAGGTATTATTGATATGAGAAAATGCTAAGTAACTGATTTACTATCTGAAAAGGGATTTACTATCGGGGAAAGGGAGGGAAGAAGAGACTGAACATAAACTGCACCTATGGATGAGGACAATGGGGGATGGGGAGGGTGCGGAGGGTGGGGTGGGAACCTGGTGGAGGGGGGAAGAAATGAGGAACCTTTGTAATAATATGAACAATAAAGATTGATTTAAAAAAAAAAAAAAAGAAGCCCTTTCTGTGGCCTCTTTCAATCACTCATCCTCCTTCCTTCCCAAAGGTAAGCATGGCCCTCATTTCTAACTATAGATTAATTTTGCCTGAACTTTATATTCATGTAATCATACAGATTATACTCCTTTGTATCTGGCTTCTTTCACTCATTATTAGGTTTTTGAGATTTATCCATATGGTTGTGTGTATCTGAGTTAAAGGGTAACTAATTAAAGTGCATCTTACCCCTCACCCTGTTTAACTCCTAATAAGATTAAAAAAAAAAAAAAAAATCAGCCCCTAAATAGAGTTTCAGAGGAAATTGGTGTGAACTGAAAAGCAAAAAATTTCTGTGATATCAGGTACTTACATCCCCAAACTCTGATGAAGGAGAGACCTAATCTCACTCCCAAATATCTGAAATCAGAGATAAACTGAACTATTGAATTTTAAAAAATAGACTTTTATTGATTTCAGGGAGGAAGGGAGAGGGAGAGATAGAAAGCTCAATGATAGCAGAGAATCATTGACTGGCTGCCTCCTCCATGTCCCCAGACTGGAGATTAAGCCCACAACCCTGGCATGTGCCCCTGACTAGAATCGAGCCAGGGACCCTTCAGTCTGCAGGCCAACACTCTATCTGCTGAGCCAAAACCAGCCAAGGCTAAACGGAATGAAGACTAGAGGCCCGGAGCATGAAATTCGTGCATGGGTGGGGGTGTCCCCTCAGCCCAGCCTGCATTCTCTCCAATCTGGGATACCTCAGGGATGTCCGACGGCCGGTTTAGGCTGGGTTCGGGCCTAAACTGGCCGTCGGACATCCCTCTCACAGTCCAGGACTGCTGGCTCCTAATCGCTCGCCTGCCTGCCTGCCTGCCTGCCTGGTCGCCCCTAACTGCCTCACTCCCGCTGGCCTGGACACCTCTTACTGCCCCCCTCCTCCCTGCCAGCCTAATTGTCCCCAACTGCCCCCCTCTGTCAGCCTGGTCACCCCTAACTGCCCCTCGCCCCTGCCGGCCTGGTAACTCCCAACTGCCCCCCTCTGCCGGCCTGGTTGCCCCACGCAGCCTGATGTTCAGTCGTTTGGTCATCCCTCACTAATCCTCCCTGCTAACCTGGTTGCCCCTCGCAGCCTGCTTGTTCAGTCATTTGGTCATCCCTCATTAACCCCACTGCTGGCCTGGTTGTAGGCAGTCATCTTGTGAAGGCGTGATGGTCAATTTGCATATTACTTCTTTATTACCTAAGATTAACCAAAGAATTTATATGCATATATGCATAACCCATGGATACAGACAATAGTACAGTGAAGACCTGGGGAGGGGGCATAATCGAGGTGGATTGGCTCAATGGAGGGATAAAGAGGGATATCTATAATACTTTCAGCAAAAAAATTGTTTTAAAATTATATGCTGTGTCTATTCATTTAAACACAATGTCCAATATACAAAGTCATTTGAAGCAGATCTGTAGATGACCCAGGTGCTGGAATCAACAGACATAGATAAAAATGACTGCTATATATTTGTTAGAGAATTTAGTGAAAATATGGACA